GGTTTGAAGGGCGCTAGCCGCTTTTGCGTTTCCCTGGGCGGAGCTTGTTTGCATCAGGGGCGGACTGGGGTTGTGCTGTGCTGTGTTTGAGAGTCTTGGGGACTGTCGGATCCTCCTACCTAACTTCCCCACGTGCAAGCTAGCCCTGCTACGTAATATGGCATCAGACCGGAGTCAGTGAACCCCTCTGTGCCTTCGATCGCAGTTCTGTAAAAAGGAAATAAAAGCAGAACCTTTCTAATGCGCATAATGTTTGGGAGGAGGAAACGAGTTAGTGCAAAAGTTCAGCTGCCTGGCACGTGGATTGTTACAATGCTACTTTATTTCTCCTAGAAACGCCCTTGTCGCAGCGGTCTTCTGAGCCCAGGGAGCTGGTCTGCCCCTGACTCTACCTTTTGGGAGGAAGGGGATTGTTTCTAAATGGTTAAGTTGCTTCTATCTAGGGGCTGGCGTAGCTGTTGATCGGGGATGGAGACACAATCTTGGTATTTCACAACCTCTTTTTCTTTCCCAGCCTTGACTTTGCAAAAAAGCACTGCACTGAAGAGGCGCGTGCAAAGCCTCCGCTTGAGTAAGACTTGTACTTTATGTTTTATAAAGATAGTCACGTGAGTTGAACGTGTAGGTGATATACATGGGTGTGAGCAGTAACTAAGCGTTAGTTGCTAAGTTCTAGTCTAAGGGTTTAGTGAAGACTTTTCTACCACACAGTGGATTCCTGAAGTTATTTTGCTCTTTTTTCCTACTGTAAATATGAGTAAATTGAGATGGGGGGGGGGGCCTAATCTGTCCAGGATCACCCAATCTAGGTAATCTGAGCCCATACTTGATTTCATAATCTCTTTCGTGTAATTTTACTGAGCCAGAGGAAACTGGCAAATATCTCGGAAAAATACTTTGGGACTTTGTAGTGGGAACCTTGAGAGCAAGATATGGGTAGCTCTTTTGAGTTTTTAAAAACAGTTGCCTCAATTATGTCAAATAATGTTTTTATTATAGAAGCAACATATAAGGGGTTTCTGAAGGTTTGTGGAAAAAATAGAATTAGCATATGAGTTTATTTTGGTGCAAAACATTTTGAAATCCATGTGTAGTATCTTTATAATATGCAGTTTCCACAAATATTTTGAAGTCCACCCCTTCGCATTTGCTCTGTGTTAAATACTGTTTTGTTTTCTTTTGTATGATCATACACTGGCCTTGTATGATTTTTACTAAGTTGAAGCACCAAGTTCTGATTGTGGCTGCTCTTAGCTGTCAGAGCTAGTGTTATTTTTTCCTCTTTCATAGCTTTATCATGCTTATATTTTGTTACTGTTTTTTTGCTGATGCATTTGAGAATAAGCTAGAGATAGTGATCAAAATGAAATTAATTACATTGATGACATACTGTTATCTAATCCATAGTTCATATTAAATTTCAGTTTTCCAAAGTCTTTAAGAGCAATTTTTTCCCTCCAAGTCAGTGGCCTTTCTAATTGTGTGCATTGTACTTAGTTTTTGTTTAGTTACTCACCTTTACTGATTCCTCGGATTGTTATTTTTTATAGTCTACCAGCAAATTGTTTTGTAGAATGTCCCTGTGTTTTGGTTTGACTGTTTGTTCGTGATTAAATTCAGCTATGTAAAATTAGCAGAGATGCCATAGAAATGGTGAGGCATCTTTTTCAGTGCATCAGTTGTGTCAAATGTTAGCTTGTGGGGTTGCCCTACTGATGTTGTCAGCTTTCTTCTTTTAACTAAGATGTCTGGCAGGTTATCTTTTTCTTTTGCAAGTATTACTTTGAGTTTATGTAGTTATATTATTCATCACCAAACTTTACCAGATTTTAGTATCCATTCATGATTTTCTTTTCTTTCTGTTTTATTTTAAATTACCAGAGGATATATATGCTCACCAGAGAGACAGAGAGGGAAAAGGAGAAATAGAAAAGGAGAAGGTATCTTTCCCATCCTCGATGGGGCATGGTCATGCCACAATCCGTTCTCCTCCATTTCTCCATCCCATTGAGATTTTGAACATGCACGCACATTCACTCAGCATGTTTTTCAAACCACCAGCGTGGTTTGACCCACAATCAGCCATATAGGGTGCAGCTTCCCTTATGCATCCATGGGACTGGCCCCATTGATGATTTTCTAGTTATCTTTAATTTTACACTTTTAGTTTTTGTGTTCTATTGTAGAGGAGCTTTCTCTTCTCATCCATTTATTTATTATACATTCCATCACTTACAACAATGTGAACTCAGACACCTGCCTTTTTCTTTTAAGTTGAGTATGGACTGTCAACTTAAAAACATTTTTTTCTTTATTCAGGATAGAGCATAAGCACATGCATGTGAGACAGAAAGAGGAACACTCCACCCAGGGTCTGGTCAAGCCACAATCCCCTTCCTCCAGTCTTTTGTCCATTAGATCTTGGACACGTGCATGGCATATTTCAGACTGACCAGGGCAGGGATTCAAACTGTGTTTGTCACATGAGATCCAACTTCTTTTGAACAGTGCATTACTATTGTGCTATTGTGCCATGGAGCCAACCCCAATTGTTTTTTTTTTTAAAGAATTATTTTATTTAATTTCATTTATTTTGATTTGACCAAAGAGGGACAGTGTGTGTGTGTGTGTGTGTGTGAGAGAGAGAGAGAGAGAGAGAGAGAGAGAAGGAAAGTGAGAAAGCAATCCACCAGGTCTGGGACTCGAATGGCCATTGGCCTTGTGGTAGTCCAGCACCCTTAACTACCATGCCACCTGCCAACCCCCCAATTTTTGGTTTTATTGGAGTATCTTAGGTTTTGTTGTTGAGGTAAGCAAATTCCTAGAATGACAACTGGAGACTTTTCAGAAGTTATGAGATATTTTCACATGTCAGAGCATTAACCTGTGATCTCCAGTTATCTTAACAATATTATATTGGTGAAAAATCATACCTTATTTTGAGTTTTTTTTTTTTTTTTTTTTTGCTATAGGGCACGTGCGCTCGCCAGATAGACAGAGAGACAGAAAGACAGAAAGCAGAAAGCGAGAAATCACCTCCCAGGGGGGATGGCCATGCTGCAATCCCTTCTCCTTCATTCTCCTCTTGGGATCTTGGGCACGCGCACACACGTGCCCAGTGTGAGTTTTAAGCCACTGGGTCTGGGATGCGAACTGCTGTCGACTACATGGGAGTCCAGCGACATAGCCATTAGACTAACTACTTGTCCCACACCTTTTTTTTTTTTAATCTTTTGTTATAGGACATGTATATTCACCAGAGAGAGAGAGAGAGAAAGTGAGAAATAACCCCCCTGAGGGAAGATGGCCATGCCGCAATCCCTTCTTCACTCCCGTCAAGATTTTGGGCATGCAGGCACACGTGCTTGGCATGATTTTTAAGCTACTGGGTCCAGCACTTGAACTGTACCATTGGCCATATGGGTTCCACCTAAATGTCCATGTCATGGCCTAAACATCATACTTTTAAGTATAATTTCAGACCACAGACTATTGTTTATTTTTGCAGTTGCAAAGAAATAAGAAACCTTAGCTTTCTACTTTGCAATAATCTCATGAGATTGATACTGTTATTCTCCCCCCCACTTGCAGCAGATACAAGTGAGGCAGAGAGATGTTAACCCCCCCCCGCCCATAATGGTGCTAATGAGTAACCATGTCAGGATTTCAACAGATGCTTGTTAGTTCCAGAGCCCAATTTTTTATATTGTCTCATTTTATACCATATCCAGAGTAAGAATTATTGCTGTGGAAGTACAGGCACACTGGTGCAGCCACAGTATGAACTACTACTAAAAGGAAGATGAGAGATCTCTGCTGTTCATGTTGTGTTCTGCCCACAAGCCACAAGCAACTGCAGCCACCCTGGGGGATGATCAACTTTGCTAATCCACAAGAAGAGACCATGTGGGTTAGCAACATACTTGCCCAGTTTCCATTGACTTCTCTCTCCTTTCTTAGATGTGCCATCTTAGGACTCTGCTTCCCCAAAAAGAGGAATTTAAAAATGAGTATATTCAAGGTGAGTCAAATTTATCTTTCTTACTATTAAAAATGCTATGTTGAGTTCACACGTGGCGCCCGCCGAGGCACATTGTTTCTCCTGTCTCTGCCGCCTGGACAGGTTCCACAACTGCCATGAAGCGGCCGAAATTAAAGAAAGCAAGTAAACGCATGACCTGCCATAAGCGGTATAAGATCCAAAAAAAAATTCGAGAGCACCATCGAAAATTGAGGAAGGAAACTGAAAAACGGGGTCATAAGAAGCCTAAGAAAGACCCAGGAGTTCCAAAGAGTGCTCCCTTTAAGGAGGCTCTTCTTCGGGAAGCAGAGCTGAGAAAACAGCGGCTTGAAGAACTCAGACAGCAGCAGAAACTCAACAGGCAGAAGGAACAAGAAGAGAAAAGAAAAGTTGAAGCCAACCCTGATGTTAAGCCATCTGATATGGAACCCGTGAAGGAGGAATCTGGGCAGTGCAAGACTAAGAACAGAACCAAGTCTGTTAAACAGAGCCCAAAGAAGCTATATTGTCAGGAACTTAAAAAGGTGATTGAGGCCTCAGATGTCGTGTTAGAGGTACTGGATGCCAGAGATCCTCTCGGTTGCAGATGTCCTCAGGTAGAAGAAACCATTGTCTAGAGTGGACAGAATAAGTTGGTACTTGTATTAAATAAATCAGATCTGGTACCGAGAGAGAATTTGGAGAGCTGGCTAAATTATTTGAAGAAAGAATTGCCAACAGTGGTATTCAGAGCTTCGACACATCAGAAGGACAAAAGGAGTATAACCAAGGTAAAGAAGAAGGCTGCTCCATTCAAGAGTGAAGTCTGCTTTGTAAAAGAAGGACTTTGGAAACTTCTAGGACGTTTTCAGGAGACATCTGGCAAATCTATTCAGGTTGGAGTAATTGGTTTCCCAAATGTGGGGAAAAGCAGGAGCATCAATAGCTTAAAACAAGAAAGGATATGCGACGTTGGTGTATCCATGGGACGTAGAAGGAGCATGCAGGTTGTCCCCTTGGACAAACAGATTACAGTCATAGACAGTCCATGCCTCATTGTCTCTCCACTTAACTCCTCCGCTGCACTTGCTCTACGAAGTTCAGCAAGTATTGAAGCACTAAGGCCAGTAGAGGCTGCCAGTGCCATCCTTTCCCAGGCTGATACTCGACAGGTAGTACTGAAATACAATGGCCCAGACTATAAGGATTCACTGGAGTTTCTCACTATGCTTGCTCAGAGAAGAGGTCTACACCAAAAAGGGGGAAGCCCAAATGTTAAACATGCTGCTAAACTGCTATGGTCTGAGTGGATATGTGCCTCTTTAGGTTACTATTGCATGCCCCCACATCCTGGACTCCTCTTCCACATCTTAATAAGAGTTTCATGGCAGACTTGAAATGGGGCTTTAATCTGGAAGAACTGGAAAACAACAACGCACACAGCAAACAAGCCATCAGCGGTCCTCGTTTAGCCAATAGCATCCTTTTCCAGTCCTTGGGTATGACAAACGGGATAACAGAGGAAAAGGATATACCTGAAGGATTGCCAAAACAAAAACAGAAGAAACAGGAGGAAAAGGAGGAGGGTGAAGACATGAACAGTGACCAGGAAAGTGTGGATGCAGAAGTGGACGAAAGGGCTTCAAACACATCCCCTACAGAAGAGACATGGGTGGCACAGCCTGAAGAGTCCATACCAGGTAACCAGTCTACAAGATCTTTTATCTTGGATAAAGTGACTGAAGAGGATGATGTTTATGACTTTAGTACAGATTATGTGTAACACAACCTTGTCCACTTACAAAGGGTATTCTTTAACATTTTAAACAGATTATTACTGTTAAACTGTCCTATGTGTATAACATAATTGTTTGTTACGGTACGATATAAGCTATGTGAATTCTGTAAACACATATCCACGGTGTCATTAAAACAGGCAATTTACCAAAAAAAAAAAAAAAAGCTATGTTGGGGTCAGCAGATGGCATAACGGTTTTGTCACTGGAATGACACCACATAGTCAACTGTGGTTCGAGTCCTAGACCTGGTAGCTTGAAAATTGAGCCTGGCGTGTGTGCATGCATACCCAAGTTCCTGGAAGGACAAAGGAGAAGGGATTGTGGTGTGGCCATTCCCAGGTGGGTTAGGGGGGTGATGTCTCATGTTCCCTCTCCCTGTGTCTGTCTCTCCGGCAAGTGTACATGTCCTAAGGCAAAAAGGAAAAAAATGCTATCTAAATAATTGTTTTTCTTTAACTACCAGAAGGTACACACACTTATAATAAAAATAGAAAATATCTCCCAATGGGGTAGTCCTGCCACATCCCTTTATCCATGTCTTCAGACAGAGAGGATTTTTGGCACTCTTGCATGCACACACGTTTTCCAAGCCATCCAGGGCTGAGAGTCAAACCCTGGTTAACCGTGTGGGATTTGACTCTCAGTGCACTATGCTTAACTACTGTGACATGGGGCCAGCCCATAAAAATACCAGTTTTGTTTTGTTTCATTTTGTTTTGTTTTGTTTTTGCTAGAGGCACTTGCACTCAATTGGAGAGAGAGAGAGTGAAAAAGCAGCCCCATGGAAAATGGTCATACCACAATCCCTTCTCCATTTCTCCCTCCTTTCAGGATTTTAGGCATGGACACACAGGCACCTAGCATGTCTTTTAAGCCACCAGGTCTGGGGCTTGAACTACACAGTTGGCCACGTGGGAACTAGCTGCATTAATCGCAGTGACACTGCCTGGCCTACTCTTTTAGTACTCCCAAATTCAGTACAGGTTTTTGTCGTTCAAAAAGAATCAGAGTGTTTTGGGGCTGGCAGGTGGCATGGTGGTTTAGGGTGCTGGGCTCCCACATGGCTGACCATGATTCAAATCCCAGACCTGGCAGCTTGCTTTCTCACTTTCCTTCTCTCTCTCTTGCTCTCGCTCTGTCCCTCTTTGGTCAAAAATAAAATAAAATAAAATAAATAATAAAGTAAAATAAGTCTTTTAAAAAAAGAATCAGTATTTTAAAGGCCTCTTAAGTGCCAGGTCCTTTTTTGTCTCCTTTAAATTTAAGTGGTTTGGGATTTAGTTTTTGTTATTTTTTTCCCTGATGTTTTATTTATTTGTTCTGAGATAGAGGTTTATAGCACCCCCCAACAGGGTGCTAATGCCATGATCCATTCCCAGGACTTTAGGCAGTCCCTGATCTTTGCACTCAGGGAGGTCTCTGGGCATGGATTGGCAACCTTTTTATATGGATCTGCCTTGCAGAGTGTCATGTTACACCAGTGCATCACTGTCCTTTCTCTATTTTATCATTTTAAAAGTTTTACAAATAAAATAGAAAAATTAATAGAAACAAACATTATTATGACTTCTCTGCTTACAAATTGTCTTATGTATGTATGTGTGTGTGTATATATATGTGTGTGTGTGTGTATATATAAATATATATATATAATTTTTACATATACATATAAATTTTTTTGAGAGAGATTTTTGCTATAGGGCATGTGTACTCACTGGAGAGACAGAGACAAAGAAACAGAAAATGAAAAATCACTCCCGAGGGGAGATGACCACACCATAGTCCCTTCCTCTCCATTCTCCTCTTGGGATTTTGGAGATACATGTAAACATGCCCAATGTGAGTTTTAAGCCACCAGGTCCAGGACTCAAACCATGGTAACTACATGGTAGTCCAGTGACGTAACCATCTGCTGGTTCCTATGTTTGTAATCCCTTCATCACATGTATTTATATGTATTCATAACATATAAATAGTTAGGTATAATTATGATGATGGTGTTGTTAGATTTTTGCCAGAGGGCATGTGTGCTCTCCAGAGAGACACATAGAAATAGAGTGAGAAATCACTTCCCAGAGAGGATGACCACACCATAATCCCTTCTCCATTCTCTTGGGATTTGGGGCATGCATGCACATTGCCTGGAGTTTTTTTTTTTTTTTTTTCCTTTTTTTGGGAGGGTGGGGGGTTGGGTGTAGTGCGTATTGGCTGAGAGAGACAGAGAGACAGAAAGCGATAAATCCCCCCCCAGGGGGAATGGCCCCGCCACAATCCCTTCTCCTCCATTCTGCCCTCGGAATCTTGGGCACACATGCATGTCCCCGGCGTGAGTTTAAGCCACTGGATCCAAGGACTCAAACTGCAGTCGACTACATGGCAATCCAGCAACATAGCCATTATGCCAACTGCTCAGCACATGCCTAGAGTGTTTTTCAAACTACTGGGTCGAGGACTGTAACCACAGAGTTGGCCATGTGGGACCCAGCACCTTAACCATCACTGAGAGTACCCTGCTGGGAGCCAACTGCTGGTCCCCATAGGCATAATTTTAAATTGTGGTTTATTTTTTTAGTTTAATATTATGTTACAGTCTTTCTTTATTTTTTGTTTTTTAAAATTGACATCATAATTGTACATATTTGTGGAGTACAGTGTAATGTTTTTTAGTACATGAACATAATGTGAAATGATCAAATCAGGTCAGTTAGCATATCCATCATGTCAAACATTTATCATTACTTTGTGTTGGGAACATTCAAAGTCCTTTCTTTCAGCTAACCTGAAATATTCAATAAATTATTGTCAAACTTAGTTACTCCATTGTACTATATGTCACTACACCTTGTCTTATCTACTGTAAGTTTATGTCCATTAATCAATCTCTCTGTCCTTCTCTCTGCCCTTTCTAGTTTGTAGTAATCAATCACTCTTATCTATTCTATAAGGTCATCTTTTTTAGTTTCCACATGTAAGTGAGAATGTGCATATAACATTCATTTGTAATTGCTATATCATATTTTCATTAAATTTATGTACTCAATTTTTAAAATATTTCCTAGTAGACAGTTTGTTTAGGATTTTTACTGTTCTAGGAACACTACAGTGACAGTTCTACATTTAACTTTTTTATGAAAAAATCACTTTTGAAAAGACCACCCTTTCAATCATTAACATACTAGATACACAGAATTGAAATGGTATGTGGTATATCTGGTGCCTCAGATGTTTTTTGATAGAACATTCAAATAGGGCATAGTACATAGGATTTAACAGAACAAATATTGTTAGACATTTTCTCACTAAAATAACTAAATTCTGTCTTTCTTATACCTGTATGTATTTCATTTACTTATCTTTTTTCCTTTGTGTGTGTGTGTGTGTGTGTGTGTGTGCGTGTGTGTGTATGTGTGTGTTTTAAGAGAGATTTTTGTTGTAGGGCACATGTGCTGTCCAGGGAGACAGAAAGCAATAAATCACTCCCCATGGTAGATGGCCATGCTTCAGTCCCTTATCCTCCATTCACATTTCAGTGTTTTGGGCATGCACACAGATGAGCCTGGCGTATGTCAAGCTGCTGGTTCTGAAACTCAAATAGCAGTCGACTACATGGGAGTCCAGTGCCTTAACCACTGTGCCACCTGCTGCCTCCCCTTATGTACTTTCTAAATCAAAGTAATATTAATATTGCCTGATCTTTGTGACCTTACTTTTAAAAGTCTAGCAGTACTAGAGGATTTGCCAGGCACTTGCATTCTGTTGCTGCATTTATACTTCAGAGCAACTGTATGAGGAGCTACTTGGTTTTATCTTCATGTCTTTAGATAGCCCTGTCCTGGTGGTATTTTCAATAGCCACTAACCTTGCCTGGTACAGTATGGGGGTTGTAAATTGGCATGGAAATTTAAAGCAGGTTCTTGTTGGTGCACAGCACAAACTGGTTATATATGGGGATGGTAGTTTTTTCATCTTCAGTTGTCTCTGATGTAGCTTATACAAAATAATTGTTCTGTTATCTGAATACCACTCTGTAATTACAAAAAAAAAAGTTGCAGCTGTTTTGTTGACATTCTGAATACTTCTAAGTAAATACAATTATTTTTTATTGAAAAAAAAAAGAGGGGTTATGAAGTGTGAGGCACTTACTGAAGCTTGCAGAGAAAACCAAGGAACTGGAGTCAGGATATCTCATCCAAGTAAAAGAGAAAAAAAGCCTTGAATTTAGAGACCTGGCACGTCCTTTTAATTTATTTCCATATCTAACACTACTGTTCACCTGGCTTGTACCTCAGTAGGAAGGCAGGTACTATCAGACCCTGTTGGAACTAAATTGGTAAACATTTCTGGGTGTACTGACAATGCTAGTTAAAAGGAAAATGTGTTTTTTTTTTTTTTTTTAATGAGATTTTTGCTGTAGGGCACGTGTGCTCACCAGAGAGAAACAGAAAGGGAGAAATCACCCCCATGGGAGATGGCCATGCTGCAATCCCTTCTCTTCCATTCTCCTCTTGGGATTTTGGGCACGCATGCACACATACCCAGCGTGAGTTTTTATTTTTTTAAAGAGATTTTGTGGGGCCGGCAGGTGATGTGGTTAGGGGTGCTGGACTCCCACATGACTGACTGTGGTTCAAGTTCTGGACTTGGTGGCTTGCTTTCTCACTTTCCCTCTCCTGCTTTTTCTCTCTCACTCTGTCCCTATCTGGTCAAATTAAAATAAATAAGCAAATAAAGTTAAATAAAATAATTCTTTAAAAAAGAGAGAGAGATTTTTGCTACAGGGCATATGCTCTTACGAGAGACAGTCAGTGAAAAATAACCCCTCAGGGAGGATGACCATGCTGTAATCCCTTCTCCATTTTCTTGGAATTTTGGGCATGCACGGCTATGTGCCTGGTGTGAGTTTTAAGCTTCCAGGTCCAGGACTCAAAGCACAGTTGACTATGTGGGAGTTCAGCAATGTAATCATTACATCATATGCTTGTCTCCCAGCATGAATTTTAAGCTGCCATGTCCAGGACTCGAACCACTGTCAATTATGTGGGAGTACAGCAATGTAACAGTTATGCCATCTGCTGGTCCAAAAAAATAAAACCATGTTAGTTCATAATGTAACAGATTTCTAGGGAGTTTTCTTATCACAGTACTCACTAAGAATAAGGTAAATATACCAAGGCTTTTTTGCTATAGCAGCATTTTTGGTAAGACTGGGGAAAGTCAGTATATGACTCTGGTAAAATAAAAGGAGAAGGGCTGGAAAAGCTACTACACATGGCCAGAGCATCTTCCCATGCACCCTCCCCAGTTTCTCAGTGCTGCCCCTCTTCTCGTGGATATTGGGTGTAAGATTGATGTCATGTGTATTTGTTATAGGAGGCAGTGACATTTAAGGATGTGGCTGTGATCTTCACTGAGGAGGAGCTAGGGCTGCTGGACTTTGCCCAAAGGAAGCTGTATCAAGATGTGATGATGGAGAACTTCAGGAACCTGGTCTCAGTGGGTGAGGACAGCCTCCTTTTGGAGTATCTCTGTGGCCTTGGAGTTTTAAAACTTTAGGTCTCTTGAAATGGACTCCTGAATATGGGGATCTGACTTTCCTAATTCCAGCAGGATAGAGAGACAGGATGTTCCTGATCTTTCTGAACAGGGTATTTCAAGTCTTTTTAATTTGTTTTATAAAAGAACTGTAAATGGACAGTGTATTGCTGTATACCTTATCTATTTCCAAATTTTACTCGTGGCCTGTTAGTGAATTACAAAACCAGGGTTTTTTTTTAATTTAATTTTATTTATTCATTTATTTTATTTTAATTTGACCAGAGAGAGGGACACACAGAGAGAGAGAGAGAGAAAGTGAGAAAGAAGCAAGCCGCCAGGTCCAGAACTTGAACCGTGGTCAGCCATGTGGGAGTGTCCAGCACCTTAAGCACCACGCCACCTGCTGGTCCCCAAAACCAGTTTTTTGAATCCTTTTAGTAAGATTTTTTTTTTTTTTTTTAATTTTGCCTGAGTACATATGGTCATTGGAGAGAGAGAAAGCAAAAAAATCCTCCAAAGGGAAATGGTCATACCACAATCCTGTCTCCATTTTTACCTCCTTTTGGGATTTTGGGCATACACACACACACACACACACACACACACACACACATGTTCAGTGTGTTTTTCAAGCCACTGTCTGAGACTCAAATAGTGCAGTCAGCCATGTGGAATCCAGCTACCTCAACCACTACATCATAGACTGGCCTATTCATGATTTATTTTAAGACATTTGAAAATCACTGTTTTGTTTGTTTGTTTGTTTGTTTTTAGGTTTTTGCTATAGGGTGCATGTGCTCACCAGAAAGACAGACAGAGACAGAGAGCAAGAAGTCACCCCCCCCCCAGGGGAATTGGCCACCTCACAATCCCTTCTCCTCCATTCTCCTCTCGGGATCTTGGGCACACACGCACATGCACCTGGCATGAGTTTAAGCTACTGGGTTGGGGACTCAAACGCGCAGTCGATTACATGGGAGTCCAGCAACATAGCCATTATGCCAACTGCTGGTCCCCCAAAATCACTATTTTAAGTGTTTTGAATATGTAGTTAAATTTCTAGAAAAATCCAGCTCTGGAGTATTCATTTTAAACTTTTGACTTCACATATTCATAGGGCATCAACTCTTCAAACGAGATATCTCACATATAGAAAGAAAAGAGAAACTTTGGATGATAAAGACAGCAACCCAAAGAGGGAGAGATTTAGGTAAGAACCATGCAATTGCATATTCTTCTAGTTAACTTTCCATCAGTTTTGCTTCTTACCACCCCTGTTGCCATCACTTGGTTCAAATTTCCAGATTTCTTTCCTGGATTATTGTAACACCTTCCATGCTGGTTACCCCATATCTACCCTTCTACAACCCATTCTCTAAATGACAACCAAAATAATCCTTTAAAACCATAGGTCCACTCTCCTTTTTTTCTACTCAAAATTCTTGTTGCTTATTTTAGATTAAAAACCAATAAAAGCAGTGATAGAGAGTTGCACTATCTGTTCTTCATTCTCTGATAGCCATCTGATTATACCTCCTGTCCTTCCCTTTTTACCTAGTATATTCCACTATAATGTCCTCCTTGTTTTGCAGACCTACCAAAATTGTTCTGCCTCATGGCCCTTTATATGTTCTTTTCTTGGCCAGGAATAGTCTTTTACTTGTAATCTCCTGGCTCCTCCTTTCCTTCATTCAGGCCTCTGCTCTTTTTATTAATTAATTAATTTTTTTTTTTTAGGACAAGATTTTGCCATGTTACAGTCTTCTTGCTCCATTCCCCCCAGTCCCCACCTGGGATTATAGGTGCATGTCTCATGCCAGACTTTTTTAGAAAGAGTCTCACTATATTGACCAGGCTAGCTTCAAGTTCATGATCCTCCTGCCTTCACCTTCCTGAGTTCCTGAGTTTACAGGATCATGCCATGCATACATTTCTTGAGCACCTACTAATTGCCAGGCACTGTTCTGGACAGTGGTAATAAAACTGAACACTATAAAACGTTTTATAGTGATACTATGTTATGGTAAACACACACAGAATTTTTTTAAGTTTTAGATAGTATGTCAATAATTGTGTTTTTGAGTAAGTTTCATCAATGCTTAGTGGTTGGGAGTTTAGTAGACTGTCTCTTTGTTTCTATTAGTATGTAAACCAGAAAAAACTTCATATGTACAAGTGAAAACTTTATTCAGAGGTTCAAGATTTTACACTTAGAATAAAGTATGAGACTTTAATGACCACTGGATGATTCAACCTTATCTTTTTCACTTGCCTATCTCTCTGAATTGTTTGTCCTTACAGGAGAGAACAATCAAGATGAGTTAAGGATTATTCAAGACAAAGGATCTCATGAAGAGTTTTCTTGCTGGCAAATCTGGCAACAAATTGCAAGTGACTTAAGCAGGTGTCAGGACTCCATGATAAATAGTTCTCAGTTCCATAGACATTGTGATTCCCCCTGCCAGGATTGGGCAGGAATATCTATTCAAATTTCCGAAGGTGAGAACTGTATACTAAATCATAAAGTAGATGGTCCCAAAGATACTGGAAATCCAGAATTACCAACTTCAGGAACCCAGAATACTTTTCTGACTAAGTCACAGAATTATCAGGATACATATAAGCAAATTTCCCTGAAAAATCAATTCTATCAATGTAAACAGGATGCTAACTCCATTAATTGGATTTCACATCATCATAATGCTCATAAAGTGCACGAAAGTGAAAAGTTTTACAATGATTATGTAAAAGGGAGCACAAAGATTTCAGCATTTGGTGAGAATTGTAGTGTTTATTATAAAGGAGAGAACCCATACCAGTGTAATGAGTACAAAATCTCCAGTGATCTCTTCAGCTTTGATATTCATCAGCAGTTACACACAGGAGAGAAGTCTCATACATGTATTGATTGTGGGAAAAGCTTCCATTTTAGCTCAGTTCTTAGTGTTCATCAGAGAGTTCATGTGGGAGAAAGACATAAATGTGATGAATGTAATAAAGAATTCAGTCAGAGTTCACATCTACATCCTGATCAGAAAATTCACATGACAGAAAAATTGTACAAATGTGAGCAGTGTGGGAAAGATTTTAGTCGTAGATCAACACTTAATGCTCATTATAAAGTCCATACCGGAGAGAAACCTTATAATTGTGAAGAATGTGGGATGGCCTTCAGTAAGGTCTCTCATCTTCAGGATCATCAGAGACTCCACACTGGGGAGAAACCATTTAAATGTGATGCATGTGATAAGAGCTTTAGTCGGAATTCACATCTTCGGTCCCATCAAAGAATTCATTCAGGACAGAAACCATATAAATGTGAGGAGTGTGGGAAAGGCTTCCTTTGTAGCTCAAATCTTTACATTCACCAAAGGGTCCACACAGGAGAAAAACCTTATAAATGTGAGGAATGTGGTAAAGGCTTTAGTAGGCCTTCAAGTCTTCAGGCCCATCAGGGAGTCCATACTGGAGAGAAATCATATATATGTACCATCTGTGGTAAAGGCTTTACTTTGAGTTCAAATCTGCGAGCCCATCAGAAAGTCCACACTGGAGAGAAACCATACAAATGTGAGGAGTGTGGGAAGAGCTTCAGGAGGAATTCCCATTACCAAGTTCATCTTGTGGTCCATACTGGAGAAAAACCCTATAAGTGTGAGATATGTGGGAAAGGCTTCAGTCAGAATTCATACCTTCAAATACATCAGAAGGCTCACCGTATATGTGGGAAAGGCTTCAGTCAGAATTCATACTTTCAAATACATCAGAAGGCTCGCAGTGCAGAGAAACCATATAAATGTGAGGAGTGTGGCCAGGGCTTCAATCAGAGTTCACGCCTTCAGAATCACCAAGTGATCCATACTGGTGAGAAACCCTACAAATGTGAAGAGTGTGGAAAAGGATTCAGTCGTAGAGCAGATCTCAAAATTCATTGTAGGATCCATACAGGGGAGAAACCATATACTTGTGAGGAATGTGGAAAAGTCTTCAGGCAGGCCTCAAATATTTTGGCCCATCAGAGAATCCACAGTGGAGAAAAACCATTCAGATGTGACGAGTGTGGGAAGAGCTTTGGTCGGAGTGCACAACTTCGAGCCCATCAAAAAGTCCACACTGGAGAAAAGCCATACAAATGTAAGGAGTGTGGGAAGGGCTTCAAATGGAGCTTGAATCTTGGCATGCATCAGAGGGTCCACACAGGAGAGAAACCATATAAATGTGGGGAGTGTGGGAAGTACTTCAGTCAGGCCTCAAGTCTTCAGCTTCATCAGAGTGTGCACACTGGAGAAAAACCATACAAATGTATTGTGTGTGGTAAAGTCTTTAGTCGGTCCTCACAACTACAGTCTCATCAGAGGGTGCACACAGGAGAGAAACCTTATAATTGTGAAATATGTGGTAAGAATTTCAGTTGGAGATCTAATCTTACAATTCACCACAGGACCCATGTTAGTGATAAATCCTATAAAAGTAATAGAGGTTGTAAAAACAGAGGATCTACACAGGAGAAAAGTTCTATAAAATGATTATTTTTTTAATGCTCGAGAGTCACTTGAGTTCTTCTATTAATCAAGTCTCAAAAGAAAAATAATCATTTGTCTCATTAAAGTCAGTTCTTCAGCCCTAACTTTTCACATCCCAGTGGTATAGACCCCATAGCAGAAAACCCTTGTAATTGGTTTTGTAAGAGCCTTCATTCAAAACCTGGACCTTTTGTCCAGTTTTGTCATACCTTTTACAAAAGTGTGATGGACATGCCAAAATTAGTTTTTACTGGAATATTAACTTCATATAGGCAGAGATTTTGTTCACTACTGAATCTACATGAGTTCCCCATTGCTGAGTACTTCAGAGGTACTTAGTATTTATTAAATTAGTAAATGGGAAGATGTGTAGTATTTGAAAGTTATGTTGAGATCACTGCCAAAATATATGTGTATTCAGACCCGGAAACCTGAAAGTAGCCTTAATAAAATTAATTCAAGGAAATGCTAGAACTGGGTACCAGCAAGTGGTGTAATGGTTCCATTGCCAAACTCCCACTCTGTTGGCTGTGGTTCAATCTGGACCTGGCTACTTAAAACTCAGACTGGGCACGTGTGTGCCCCAGATCTGGAGACTGGAGAAGGGGTTGTGGCATGGCCATCCTCTGGGGTTTGGGGGGATTTCTTGCTTTCTGTCTTGAGCTAATGTATGTGCTCTATAGAAAAACAATCTCTTAAAAAAAAAAAAAAACCAGAACTGTAATACATTATGTTAATTTGGCATTGTCCTGTGATGATTGACATTTTTTTAAGAGAATTTAATTTTATATTTAATTTGACCAGAGAGGGACAGAGAGAGAAGGAAAGTGAGAAATTAGGCCGCCAGCTCTGGGACTCAAACTGTGGTCAACCATGTGGAACTCCAGGATCCCTAACCACCATATCACCTGCTGGCCCCAACTCTTGTCCTCTCCTAACCTTTCTTTATACAGTATAGGGTTGTTTGTTTACTTATTTATTGGGTTGGGGTAGAGGACAGTATAGACTGAGAAATTAAGTCTGTTAATCTTGCAATAACATGACACTACATACAATACTAGGGATTATTTTAAAAATACTGTTAAGGCAGTGTTCTGTTTTTTTGTTTTGTTTTGTTTTAATGTCAGAGTGTGTGTGTATGCACTGGAGAGAGCACTTTCCAATGGGGCCTGGTCATGTCACAGTCTTTTTTTCCTCAATTTTTCCATCCTGTCAGGTTCCTGGGCACATGAGCACATGCCTGTTGTGTTGTTGCCAGGGCATGAATTCAAACCACAGTTGACTATATGGAATCTAGCTCCCTCTACACAGTGCTTAACCACTGTGCTATGGGGCCAGTCTAATGCAGGGTTTTTAAGTGTCAGAAATAATTACTAATGACAAACATTTCTTAGTAAATGTTGACTTGGTCCCTTTTTTTGTTTTTTTTTTTAAGAAATTTTTGCTTTAGGACGTGTGTGCTCATGGTGGGGGGACAGACAGTGAGAGGAAAAGTGAGCATTCACCACTCCCCCCCCCCTCCCCCCAGGGGTATGGAAATGCTGCAGTTCTTTCATTTTCCTCACAAGATCTTGGGCAGGCACATATGTGCACCAGGTAGATTACTGTTTCCAGTTCTCCACATTTTTATCCAGGCTTTGACATAAATTATTGCCTTCTGTTCCCACATTATTATCCAGGTTTTGACATAAATTATTGCCTTCTAAGGCTTTAGCATTACTTCCATTAAAACTTCTTAGGTAGCGTCTATTTGCAGGGAATTACTATTTTCAAGTTCCTCTACCACACATTTTCTTTTCCCCCCACCCTGTAAAAAAAGGCAAAAAACAAAATTGTTCGAATTAGTTTCGTCAGACATACTGGTTATTGGGACATGACTGACTTTCACATTTTATTTATTTATTTTACATTCATTCACTGAACATCACAGCATACAAAATGTGATTTCCCATCCAATTCACTGAGTAGTGGCTTAATCATACCTGTTATCAGCAAATAATTTTCCATTTCATATATCTATATATGAATTTCCCCCCCTTATTTCTCACCCTTTGCCATTTCCCACCCTCCTCCCACCCTGTCTCTTGTCTACAACCTGCAGTTGGAAAGTGACTTTCACACTTTTTCCTGAGTATAAAAAAATTGGGGGGGGGCAGCAGTTAGCCTAATGGCTATGTCGCTGGACTCCCACATACTCGACCACAGTTCGAGTCCCGGACCCGGTGGCTTAAACTCGCGCCGTGTGCATGCCCAAGATCCCAAGAGGAGAAGGGATTGCGGCGTGGCCATCCCCACTGGGGGATGACTTATCGCTTTCTGTCTCTGTCTGGCAAGCACACGTGCCCTGTAGAAAAAAAAATTGGGGGACCAGCAGATGGCGTAATAGTTATATCGCTGGACTCCTATATAGTCAACTGCAATTTGAGCCCCGGACCTGGTGGCTTAAAACTCATGCCAGGTGCGTGTGCATGTATGTCCAAGATCCAAGAATGGAGGAGAAGGGATTGTGCCATGGCCATCTCCCCTGGGGGATGATTTCTCACTTTCTGTCTCTCTGGTGAGTGCATGCTCCCTATAGCAAAAATCTCTCTCTTAAAAATAATAACTTTAAGGGATTTTTGCTATAGGGCACGTGGACTCACCAGAGAGATGTAGAGACAAAAAGTGAGAAATCACCTGTTGAGGGGATGGCCACACCACAATATTTTCTTTTCCATTCTTCTCTCAGAATCTTGGGCACACATGCACACATACCCAGTGTGAGTTTTAAGCTGCCAAGTCCAGGACTCAAACCATGATCAACTATGTGGGAGTCCAGTGATGTAACTATTATGCCATCTGCTGGCCTGTGTTTAAAAATTTTTAAGTGTTTTGCCAGAGGGTGCATGTGCTCCATCAGAGAGAGAGAGAGGAAAAGTGACAAAGTATTCCCCTGTCGGGTATGGTCATGGCACAGTTTCTTCATTCTCCCTCTTCTTGGGATTTATTGGCACACATACACATGCATCTGGCATGTTTTTCAATCTTCCAGGTCTGAAACTCAAACTTTGCAGTTAGCCATATGGGATCCAATTGCCTTAACCACCATGCTGCTAGCTGGCCCTGCAAAAAAAAAATAATAATAATAAATAAATAAATATATATATATATATACACGCACACGCACACACACACATATATTCTTAACAACATAAAATTGATTGCCAAGACTAATGACCATAGGACATGACAGTCATCACATGCCTTAAAGTCTCTGTGTGTGTTCATGTGAATAATGCATCCTATCATGTGTGACTTGATATTCACCCTTCCATAACAGTAGTAAGTAGGATCTTCGGGATTTTCTTCATTTAACATATTTTTCTTTACTGAACATCAGTTTTACAGTAAAATACTGTCATATTTCAGTAATAGGCAGAGAACTACATAAAATAGAATCTGAAAAATTGTCAAGAACATATTAATCAATGCGTTAAGGAATAACGCACCATCATGTGGCATGTCAAGCCAAAATTAAGGACTGGAACTCAAAATTAATTCTAAAATGATAAAAGCAATATAGTTGTTTAAAATGACAGATATATTGGTGAATATGAATATTTTTAAGTAATACATCTAAAGGTTAGGTGTAAATCCATGAGGCCTAGAAGGTTTTGGTGTCTTTCTAATAGTAGAAATTAATGCCTCTTAGTTCTTATTAGGATTCCTCACTGTATACATGAATAGTTCAGGACACTGGCTTGCCTTTTTTAAAATTATTTTTTAATGTTTATGTATCTATTGATTTGTTTTGTTTTGTTTTGGACAGGTTTTTGTTATAGGGCACGTGCGCTCACCAGACAGACACAGAGAGACATAAAGTGAGAAATCCCCCACCACGGGGGATGGCCACGCTGCAATCCCTTCTCCTCCGTTCTCCTCTTGGGATCCTGGGCATGCACGCACACGCCCCCGGCATGAGTTTTAAGCCACCGGGTCTGGGACATGAACTGTGGTCAGCTACATGGGAGTTCAGCGACATAGCCATTATGCTAACTGCTGGTCTCAATTCGTTATGATTTTTCAAGCCACAGGGTTTAAGACTTGAACTTTGGTCAGCCATGTGGGAATCCAGTGCCCTATCCACTATACCACCTGCTGACCCCTGGCTTCCCTTTTAAATGCTTAGTCTTGGAGAAGTAGCAGGGTCTTGCCAGTCAAAAAGAATCTTGTGCAAAAAGGATCTTGTGCTGTGGAAAAAGAAGGAACAATGAAAAGGTTACTTACAGTGTAGGAAGGTGAAGCCAATTCTTGAAAATAGTTGTAATACATGAATTTTGGAATTAAGATGTAATAAGATTCTCAGGGCCAGCTGGTGGTGTAGAGGTTAGTGCACTGGACTCTCACCACTGTTGAGTCAGAGACCTGGTACCTTGAAAATCATGCCAGGTGGGCTGGCAAGTGGCATGGTCGTTAAGGGTACTGGACTCCCACGTGGCCAACTGTGGTTCATATTCCAGACCTGACAGTTTGCTTTCTCACTTTCTGTCTCTCTCTGGTCAAATTAAAATAAATAAAGTTAATAAAATACATATTTTTAAGAATTATTTTTAAATTTTATTCATTGTCTTTATTTATATATATATATATTTTGAAGTTGACCAGAGAGACAGAAGGAAAGTGAGAAAGCAAGCTACTTTCTGGGACTCAAACCATGGTCAGGTATCTGGAGTCCAGCTGCCTTCACCACCACACCATCTGCCAGCCCCAGTGAAATAATCTGACCAGAATAAAAAATAAAAAAATAAAAAAAAAGAAAAGAAAAAGAAGAAAGAAAAAAACATACTTAGAAAAGATAAAATACGCCAGGTGCATGTGTGTGCATACCCAAGTCCCGAGAGGAGAATGGAGAAGAGATTGCAGTGTGGCCACCACCCCCCCCCACCGCCCCCGGGGTGATTTTTCACTTTCTCTGTTTCCCTCTAGGAAGCACACATGCCCTGTGCAAATACCTTAATGATAATAACAAGATTCTCTGAGGAAAAGGTATGTAGGGAGGGAACAACATAGTGCCAACAGAACCTAAGGATAAGAACAAGCAGTTAATGGGTATTGAATACCATGTCCTACTTCTTAGACATTTCTTTTAGGTTTAAATTAAAGCTTATTTTGTTGAGCCAGTGGTTCAGCATGAAACTCATATCCCGAGAGGAGAATAGAGAAGGGTTGCAGAATGATATTCCCCTTGGGGGGTAATTTCTTGCTTTCTCTCTGTCACTCCAGTGAGCACACTAGCTCTATAGCAAAAATCTCTCAGAAACAAAACAAAATGAAACCTATTTGGTTAAAAGGCCTTTAATCAGATTATATATATATACACACACACACACACACACACACACACACACACACATACAGTAGTGTCCACAACTTTTTGTATTTAGATTACAATTTCTTGTGTTTTCCTGAACAACACCTTAACATGCTAATAATATAAAGGCCATGCTATCTCAAATTATGTTCGATATCAGAAATTATGTTACTGTGATGTCTTGTTTGCTCCTAGTAGGTATCAGGAT